TGTGAAACACACTGGATTAGGTAAGTACATGGCACCGTAGTTTTCTTTTAAGTTGTCAGAGCTAGCTGGACTGTTTTAGCCTTGCAGTAGAAAAAGAGTATGCGACATACGCAATCAGCTAGAAGTGGACATGAATCTTGTGCCTGCTGAAAAGTAGAGCCTACCTGTACAGGGTTCCACTCCAACAGCTGATATAGTGTGTCCATGCTTGACTGGCTCAAGGCTCAAAGAGATATAGGATAAGACTCTGCGTGAGTAAAAGACACTAGCGGTCTGCACCTCTACCGTGTACGCCCTAGTCACTCTTTCACCCCCCCCCTCCCCTCCACTCCCCTCCCCGTCCCCTCCCCTCGTCGCCAGCACTACTAAATTCTGGACATAAGGTGAAGTCATGCGGCGCTTAACAGTCACAGCAGCACGACGCTGGCCATGAGGTTGCGCAATACAGCACGAACCCTGCGCAATGAGGTCGCGCAATGCAGCTTCGATGCCGCCTGACACAGCGCGTACTGCGTTCACAGACCATATTGCTCGACACCAACGAGCATCGATGCAACACAGCCTCTCTGCAAAGCCCTGTGGAGAAACCCCTCGCGTCGCGGAACACCATTCGACTCAGCCTTATACCCTAGCGTGGCGAAATCTTACCGCATCGTGGAGCACACCCACCATAGCGTGACGTCCATCCCTGGCAGTACCGGCCGCACCCCTCCAGCACTATCCTTACAAGGGGGTTGGTCACTGAGTCACTGCGGCTTCGACGCAACGCGTGCAGGCCTGTAATCCTGACACAGTGCGGGCAGCTGTGGGACCATAGCTGGTACACATGCGAGCGTTTACGCATTGCGACTTTTACGCGCGCCTGTTTTCACACACCTAGACACAAACGAGGGTCGACGCAACGCAACCTCTCTGCAGAGCCGTGTGGCGCAATCTGACCGCAACGGTGTTCCTCTTGAGCCTTCTTATGCCTTCTTGTGCTCTCTGGCTTTGTTGGTTTCATCCATGACTGACCAAGGGGCACGTTCCTGAAACACCGGAGACAGTCCCTCACCAGAAAAGGTCCCGACAGCTACTCGGTCCGTCTCTACCTTTCGTGTTTCCCCGCTCAAGTGGTTATGGCTGCTCTTGTCACGTTGGCCTTGCGGTCTTACCTAGGAGCCTTGGCACTTGATCCACTTGTGCGCTCAGTACACTTGGCTCCACGTTATTTTGTTCGTGGTGTGTCCTAAGACTGTGAAGCTCAACACGTTGCATGTGTTGCCACGAGCACTGTGACTCGCAGTGGTTGCAAGCGTCAGCTGCCCTATGTCCGCGCGAAGAGCAACTTGTTGATGATTGACTGACCAATGGTTCAGGCACAGGGCATCCAAATATCATGGGGCAACTGTTCTGTACGGAATTGTTGGTGGAGTGTGTGCCTTTTAGTGTTGAGAGCAGCGCACGACACCCGGGTATATGTTTGGATTGGACATCCACCTTTTGATGTGGGGCGTGCCAGGCTCAGGGAGGCCAAGCAGCTGATTAGCCAGCTGAAGGCCAGACGTGAACAAGAAGTTGGAGGAAGTGAGACAAGTTGCAAGACATGCGGTAATCACGGAGATGAACTGAACAAGAATCTTGATTTTTTTTGAGGACACACGTGACACGTGGGACGGTGTAACTTGTAACGGTTTTTTTCCCCCAGTTTTTTAGTTTGGCTTGCAGGTTGGTGAATTCGGATGGGATGGGCAAGATTGGGTTATGATGACGGCCTGTTGAAGTTGTTGATGTGTGCCATGGACATTTCCACAAATGCTCTTGGCACCGCTGGGGTCCCATGGATGCCAACACAGGCCGAAGATGCGGCTGCACCCGCCAAGCAAGCCTTGGAACTCTCCCGGGATGCGTCGGCCCGAGACCCAGGGTGCCGCGGAGTGGCAGGGCTGGAGACCCCGGGAGCTGGCATGAAATCGATGTCCCATGACTTGTGGAATCTTGTGGACGTGTTCCCTTTATATACAGGTTTTGATGCCTTCGGGGTCAGCTGGGAAGGATGTCTTCGAAGATGCCTGCTTTCAGTGGAAGAAGGGCACCCTTCCGGAATTTGAGTGTTTTTTTCCTGGAACACAGCGCTACATGTTAGGAGAAACTCTTGTCATGGCAGCGAAAACATTTCCTCACGTGTTTCATGAGGCGCGAAGGCTTGCGTAGCCATTTCGCGTAGAGTCTACTGTGTTTCGTTGAGAAGGCATTTTGCGAAGGCCGTGTTTTTCATGCATGCTGCATGTGTTTTGTAGAATGAAACTAACACAAAACCTCGAGAAACCTTTCGCGAAATCCCCTCTTACATACAACAACATCGTACACCACCCTCGCGTAGGCAAATTCGTTTGGGTGCAAACATTGGCGAAAACTTTGCGGGGGTATGGGTACCTAGTGGCTGTCCCCCAGACCACACCAAAAAAAAAGTTCATTTGGCTCTGCAGAGCCACCGTCAGAGGTGGTCCTTTGCCCCCCTCCAAAGGATCGAGGAATGACATGGATCCCCTCAAAACCACTGGGTTGGTCCTCGGAAAATGGTCTTCCACAACCGCGGGTGAATTCTCATCTTCTCATCTCAGCATCCATGGGATCGTCATGCGGTGGGGTGGGGGGGAAATGACGATCCGCTTATTGCGCTGAAAGCGCATTGCTCGACTGAGGATCAAGTCAGCACCGCGGAAGCTTTGAGATGCTCGGCCGACGTGGGGGAAGCGCCAGATGTGTATGCCAGAAGAGCAGACTATGACTGGTGTCAACTGTCAACGCCCTACCATGCTTGTGCATGTCGAGGGTTTTGACAGAGCCGTGTGCCCTGCAGACTGTAGCTATGGAGCTTGGTCTCCCAGCCTGTATTGGTGATGCAAGGGGCCATGCAAGAGACGACTGTTGGACAGTCCCATAGGAGCCACAGCGCCTGATGTGATGGGCAGGGACCGACCTCCATGAAGGTGTTAAGTGAAGTTGACCTGGGCCCGACCTCCACGCTGCGCCCCGTGTTCGACCGCCCATGGGTCGATCCGACGTGGAGACTCGCTGCTGCGCAAAGCTTGCTTTGCGCAGCAGCGAAGGACGGGGGGGCGGTTCACCACAGGGCGGTTCACCACCGGGCCGTTTTTGCATATGTTTTATTCCATGTCCAGAGCAGCTCCTCAGGGCTTCTTCTCCTCGCTCAAATGGAGCGTGGAGACATCAAGCCAGAGGAAGCGCTGAAACAAGTCAAGGACCGACTCATGGTGCGCGGCTCGTTGCGCAACGCGTGTGACCGACTTGGAAGATCTGTGGTGTTGGGTCAAAGGAAGATAGGCACTATAAGCTGGTTTGGAGGATTTTTGATGGATGTCCCTGGTGTGCGGCACCAAAAAAGCGGATGTTGTCGCTGGATGATTCCATGCGGACCAGGATGGGCCGGGAGGCAGGAGTTGAACCAGGGACGCCATCTCCAGTCATCTCTAGTCGCTCCCAACTCCACCGAAGTGGCGGTGGGATCAAAGCAGGACCAAGCGTCTCGGTTGGTCTCGGTTGTTGGGAAAAGCAACCAAAGAGAAGCAGCGAGAATGGAGTATCCTCAAACGAGCTATTGAAGTCTTGGCACAGTGTTTCTCTTCCATGCAAAACTATGCAAAGCTTACTGAGATCTCTAATACTCAAAGCAGCAATCTGTCAGAACTTAAGGTTTCCCTCAAGAAACTGGGGCAGGACGAGGCGAGCAAGCTGAAGCGCTCGGCACGGGATGGCCGGAGAGCGGAGGCGTTTGGCTCCAAATGCGGTGGTGAGCTGGCATGGTGAGCGGGTGGCTGGGATCCCGAAGACGGATCATTTCATGGTCAATGTCACACGAGGAAGGCTTCAGAGTTTGTTTTCCCGAAGTGTTCAGAATCCGGTGGGTGTTGGGCCTGAGCACCTCCGCCCCATGGCCTCGGGGTGCGAGTGGCGCATATTGGCGGCAAAAAAGGCTCTCATGTTGCAATAAGGGAATCGCATGTCATGACTCTGGATGATTCTGGTCAAACTTGCTCAGACTCACGACTTTTCATCCATTTTCTATCCATGTCTCACGAATGGATCTGCAGGTGAGTGGTTTTTTTCTTCGACATGCTTTTCCCCGGGGCGCCGATGAGCGAATGAGGTCTTTCCGGTTTGTTTTCCACCCGCCACCGTGCCGCCAAACCGGATTGCTCGGGCCAGGCCATGATGCAGTTCACCCAAGCAGCCATTCACCTGGCCAAGGAGCTTGGGCGACGAAGCGATCGATCTGGGGCTCGGTCAGGTCATCACGGTGCGGTTTCTGGTCGTCACGGTGGACGTGCACACGTGGATGCACGGTTTCATGGTGGGAACGCTTCGAATCCATTCCAATCTCACAGAAAGATACACGAACCAAGAAAAAAGTCGATGGAAGTGGATGGCAGAAGGCCCCAAAAGGATGGCCGTTTTTTTTCCCTACGAAAGGATGGTGGTTTTCACTCCACTTCCATGTTGTTTTTTTCAGAATGTACAGCAATTACGATGAGTCCTCTGAAACGCATCCCTTGGCCCTCCAACATGTGTCAACAGTTGGAAGTCTGATGAGCCATCCATCTCATTGGTTCCCTCGATCGTCCCAACGATGCGATGCAGATGCCCAGCTCCAAGATACCCAGTGGAGTCGAAGGATGTTTCTCATCGATCCGAAGATTCGACTTTGAAGTAAATCCAAGAGCAAGATTCAAGCACCATCTGTACACCCACCCCAGGCGGGGTGCCACTCTCTCTCCAGGGACCTCAAAAAGGCACTGCCCCACGGCGCCGGCGCCCCCCCCCCACCGGGCGCCGTCGTGGCCGGTGAAGGTGGAGCCGGTGAAGGCGGTGCAGCTGGGCGCCGAGGCCGAGGCTTTCTTCCAGCGGGAGCAGGAGCGACGTGTCCCCGCAGCCCGGGCGAACGGGCCGAGATGGCCGAGGTGTTTGGGGGGGAAAGGGTTGAAGGGGGTTCTGTTTGTGGCAGATTGGAAGGGTGGAAGTTTCTGTGGTGTTTTTCTCTTTCCATCCCATTGGGAATTTGGTATGGTTCAAGCAATTTGTCACATGATGCATGATCTTCCCACGCGGCTCGAGTGACTCATACAATTGTTGTCTGTTCACACCCAAGACCAATGGCCTGGGCTGTACAAACCGCTTGGTTGAGTGCCTTCTTGGCGACTGCTGCATGGGGCATTCGTGGTGAGGTGGATGAGTCTGGAGGTCCAAAGATGACTGTGAAGTTGAGAACTGGAGGCTTCCAGCAAAAGGAGATTGATTGGCTACCGAGCTCATTGAGCACTTGCTGGGAGGATGATAAGATGGCAAAGATGGCTGAATGCATCCAAGAAGCATGCAAGGAAGCTTGGACCAAGAAGAATCGTTCCCCAGCTGAAGTGGCAATATCGGGCCCGCAGAAGAAGTATCAGGTTTTTGTAAGCAGAGGAAATTCCGGTCTGGGCCGGAACAACAATGAAGACACTCTCGCCATGTGGTTTACTCCTCAGGAGGGCAAGATCCAAGCCAGAGTCATTTTTATCATCGCCACGTACTGAGTCAAAGCCCATTTTCAGAGCCCTTGTCCATGCAAAATGTGAGATGGACTGGCAATGTGGAGTTGCCTCACGGGTCTTTCGCTGCGAATAAGACATAAGACACAGCATCACTCGAAGAAGACATCGATTTCTGCATGTCCCTTCTATTTGTGCCAGCCTGCTGTTCTTAGTTTAGAGATGTGGTTCATTTACCTGTATGTTGCTAGGTTATCTTGGGGCTCATGCACTTATTCACAGAAATCACATTATTTCCTCACCAAATATCTCCAAGGATATCGACGTGCTGTCCTTTTCCACCCCCATTTGGCATTCCATTTGTTTGGATGCCATGTTTCGTGCGCTCTTGCAGGACTGGCCAACTCTGGCAGAGGTGCTTGAGGTAGGACGGCCTGAACTTGCTGTGACCGTCGTGAGTGTCATGGCTGCTCTACATCCCCATCACCCCGCGGGGCCATGACCGTAGTCATTGGACCCGAACCGAGACAAGTGCACATGCCAAAGGGCCGTGGAGCACTTTGCAGAGGACGTGCTGCATGCTTCTGGGTGTAAGACAATATGATCCACTTCTGTGAACACACAGAGGACATCGCAGGGAGGCCTTCGACCCCACCAGCCCTAGCCACTGCACAGGTAGTTGCCCCAGCACATCTTCATCGAGGGGATGGCAAGAAGGCACCAGCAGGGGGTGCCCGCGGGCGTGCAGGACATACCAGGTTAGAGTGCAACCAGTTTGGGGGTGACACCATTTTGCTGTTGGCAGTCGAAAAAGGAGGACAGAAGAAGAAGAAGACGACGACGAAGAAGAAGAAGACGAAGACGAAGACGAAGAAGAAGACGAAGAAGAAGAAGAACACAAACCATACAAGGAGAAGAAAGAGTCAGTCAAAAGTTGTCTACAGCTTATACAGATGTTTGGATCTTCTTTCCCACGGGAGCCTAGAAGCCCACGTTTGGATCTTCCTGCTCCGGCGCAGACCGGGGGCCATGGTTGTTTCGGAGGCCATGGATGCGGCGAACCTGATCTTGGATGTAGCTCAGAAAATGAAGGCTCCAGAGGCACCTGGTTCCGCGCTGTTGGCAGCATGGCTAAGCCTACGACTAAACCTCATACTAAGCCTGGTGGAAACTGTAGGTGATTGGTTGGGAAGTGTGTCTTTGCCAGCATTTGAGATGAGAGTCCTTCATTTTTCCACTCTACAGAACCGCTGTCTTATCTCCTATCCCAAACACTTGCAGTTGGCAGTGGAAGCATAAGGCATAAGGTTGAGACTCCCCTCGGCTGCTTTTTTTTCACTGGGATAGGGCTGATTAGATCCTCCAGGTGGAGGCACGCGCCTGGACCTTTGTGGCAGCGGGCCGCTTCATGTCCAAGTCTGAGGATGCGGCAGAGGTCGATTCCGTGGCTTTCGGGTGATGCGGCAGAGGTCGATCACAGGTCGATCTGGGTCGAGATGAAGGTTTTCGACAGACATCTCACAGGTTTTGCTCAAGCCCCTCATCATTTAGTGTTTTCCCCTCAATCTCCACGGTGATGTTCTGGTGAGATCGTGTTAGGTCAAGATAGCCCAAGCCCTCCTTCCACTTGCCTGTGCTGCTGTGATGTGATCAGGTCTTGAGGCAGTTTCACTGGGTCCAGTTTGGTCCGAGCTTCCACAGCTGTTGTACTGTGTAGAAGTATTGATCATGCAAAACAGGTGGATCAATACGTGTAGATTGATGTAGATGGTAGATACATCAAAAACTGTATGGTACATCATTGTACCGTACTACAAGGTCGAAGCTCATGCTATTCAGGGACAAGCCAAATTGCTCTAGTGATGGGCAGACTCCTTCGACGAAACCCTATTGACCTGGCACCTGATCCAAATGTACAGTATTTGCAAGGGATGTCAGACTGCGACTCTTTTCGGCTGTTTGGGGAAGAGAGCAATCCTCAGATAGACCCGCTGTGACGCCAAACAGATCTCGAAGAGTGAACATTCCGGGACAGTGTCCCTCGACTCCACAACATAAGTGTATTCTTGTGTGTATTGAACTCAGAGGTCTCTGTCTCTTTGATGCTGAATCCACCTGGTGGTACCAAGCATGACATGGACCAAACCGTGTTTCGGCTCGTCGCGCACACAGGTTCCGCGTCGCGGCTCGTCGCGGCTCGGGATCTCGCCCGCCAGGCTGCCCGGAAGGCCCTGGATTTATGCCGCAGTGGCCGGCACCGCGCCGGGGAAGTGCAGACGCGTGGGTGCCTGGCGCCGCCTGCTCGCGGTCGCGGGCCTGGTGCGGTCCGCGTGGAGGAAGGGAAGTGACTTAAAGGTGGATGAAGGGTTTGGAGGATATCTCTGATGAACATACTTATACTATAGGTGATTTGGCTCACACAACTTTAAGATACTTTAAATATAGGACCTTGAGGTCCAGCTTCTTCCATCTCTTCCACTGTCCCATACAAATCTCAAGCATTCTCAACATGTTTCTTCTAGGATTTGGCCCGATGCCATTGTTTTAAGTTTACAGGATGCAGCTGCTCTCCGTAACCCACACAGCTTGGAAAAGGGACATCTTAGTAAACTCACCAATACATGACCGTAGGCCATTTGGTTCTTCGAATGGGAGAGGGCCAGACTGAGCATCAAGGCAAGTTCCTTTTATCGTACTCTGGAGCAATGAGGGTTTTGTGGGTCCTGTGTTGCTGTCCCACCTTGTGCCCCCATCATTCACCTGTAAGATGTTCCATTAAATTGAAGTATGTCGTTTTCTTCGGGGGGGCACTCACTGTCGGCCTCTGAACCGGCACTCATGGCGCCGGGCGCCTTGTCCAAAGGCTCTTGGAATTGGCCAAAGGCCAACTGACGTTGCAGGACTGCCGGTTGCGCACCCAGAGAACGGGGGAACCGGTTGCAGGGGGAGGTTTGGGTCTGGAGTGCTGGAACCCGTCGAAGGGGCCGAACCACCCCAAACGAGGTCCGTTCGACGACCCAACATCCGCTGAGTTCTGCGTCTTTTTGGGCATGACATCCGCTGAGTTCTGCGTCTCTTCCAAAACTCTCGTGAAGCCGGTGGAAGCCGGAATCTGGGGGCATTGGATCGAACGTCGTTCAGCTGCAGAATGTGGTTACACTATGGTTGCTGCTGCAGAATGGCCATGACATTCTTTGGACATCGTCTGGAAAACGGCACTGCGGGTCAAGAACAGGATACAAAGATACTCAGTCTCCAATGAACAGGATTTGCAGTAAGCCTTTGTCCAACTCAATCCAGTGTTGCATGATGTCAGTTGGGCCATATTCGAAGGCTTTGTTGGAGAACAGTTGCAAAGGAGTTCTACTGAAGATCACCGTTCATCCTGGACATCTAGCATGGAAAGTTCCAACGCCCGTCGATTCAATCAAACTCCTGTTGTTCTTTGTGTGATGTGCTTCTCCAGTTCCTAGTGACCTCTTCTTGTGATTGAGGGAAGTTGACTAATTGAGCACTGCATCTCTGCAGTTGCCTTTGGATTGCCCTTCTTCGAACATTCCTTGTCCGCCAGGATTCCTTGTCCGCCTTGGCCTCCGCCCGCGAAGCTCTGAAGGTGGCGCGCGACGCCGAGATTTGGCCTCAGGCGCGATCACCGCGGGTCACCGGTGACCGAAGCTTCTTCGACCGGTCACGGTCGAGACCCTGCGCCAGGCGGGCCGTGCAGTAGAAGCCATCGTGGAGGCGTGGGCTGGGGTTGGAGTGCCTGTAACTCAGCGGGGTGGATGCTGTTCCAGCCAGTCAGAAGTCAATTCTGAAGTAGAGAGCCGTAGGATGAACATGGGATACTGCAAAGCTACGACTGAGACTTTCAATAGCTCTACAAGCTGTCTACAAGATGTCCAACGGTCGACTCTTGATCTTGATTGCGACCTTGATCGAGCAACACCTGGCCGGGCCGGGTTAGCACACACGGCCCAAGGATTTGACCAATAAGCTCTGGCCCTATAGGATTTGGGCCTCCAAAAAGTTGGTAAACGACGGCAGATCTGTCATAGATGTTTGTGGGACAGCGGCCCGGCACAGACCATATGCCTCGGTCGAAGGAACATGTGTTGGAATTACTGTAGATTGACAACACTGTCGGTTCTTGTGGTGCTTCGTTTTCTCATTTTTGAACCACTTAATTTTTTCACCGCTTGGTTGTCCAACCGCTTGGACAGTCGACTGCTTTCTACACTTCCGACTGGCCGGTTCCTGGCTCAGCGTGACATCCAGCCGCACAGGCCCAGCTCCAGGCTGGGAACCCGCAGGCCGCACTGGATGAGGCGCAAGAGCAGCTGTCGCCGGGAGGGCCCAGGTGTGTGGGCCCGTGCACGAAGCCATTGGTTTCACCTCTGGAGGTACACCTGCCAGAGAAATGAGGGATGGGTCTCTCTGACCATTGTACCTACACATGGGTCAAAGGACACAAACACCAGTCTCGCATGGAGCACAGTCTCTTGGCGCTTTTGAAGGAGCTAGAGTGACACAACAATTCAACAAATTAGGGAGGAAGTCCGCAAGCTCTCTTTCTACAATCTCACTTTAAAAAAGCACAAGGATCGTTCGCTTCAGAGGCAGATCACAGAGACAGACATGTACGAAACCAACCGCTGATCACTCGTTGGTACTTCCAACCGGTGTGGTGTTGGTGTACTTCCACCAGGGAGGAGTCGCTCCACCAGTTCACCAGGACCGACTTGGCGTAGGAAGGATTGGTGGGTCGTGGGACGGTGGTTGCAGGACCGACGCTGGGGTTCCATTTGGGTCGTCTTGTGGGGGGATGAGGATCTCATTTCTACAACAGGAAGGATTGTAACATGCGTGGGTTATCTCGGCCGGAGACTCACCTGCATGATTCGTGAGAATCTCGTTAAGCCTGCTCTGCGTAGCAGCTTTATGATCACCGGCTTTGTGCTGACCACTGATCAACTTGTGGCAAACACTCTGAACTCAACCATAGAAGGCCAGCCCGCTGAATCTTGGACACGCCTCTTCAATCCTGGACTGCCCAGGTCCCTCACGCCAGCTGCTTCGAAGGCTCCTGATTTGGGGCAATTCAGAGCTTTCAAGGGGCAAAAGATCCCTGCAATTCCGGCCCCGCGAGTCGAGTAGTCGAGTGAGTGTTGGCTGCGGCGATGGCGATCGAAGGGATTCTCCGATGCGAATCATTGGTTTAGGATGGTTAGGTAATTGGTGGACGGGTGGTGCAAGCTTCATTCTTACTCTTACACTGCGGAAA